GGGGGGGCGGCCTTGAGTCTTAGACAGTTTTTACTGTCAGTTCAGTACACCGGAGAGAAAGTAAATCTATACCTAAACACTAGGTCTAATTTAGTTTGAGTAAGTTTCACGGCACTTGCAACACAAATAGGTTATGAAAGAGCCAAAGATTAGGTGGTATCATCAGAGAACAACATTCAAAGAAATAGATGAGGAGAGACAGGGAGGATAGATGTTTGATTGGAAGGAATCTACAATGGGCTTTGCTATGAAGGAAGAGCCTGCTATGGACCTGTGCTGTTTTCTGAGATACTGACAGCTCAACTTCCACTTGAACAGAATAAAACCAGAACTTCCTCCAATGTCCTTTGTGCGTATATGAGACTTGGGACCATCACCTGTTCCAATGCAAGCCCTAAATGACATCACAGCTACACTTCTCCCTTCGAGACCAAACACTGACAACACACTCTATGGAACATAACAGCAACTGCAGCAAACCAGCACTTATCATTACATGGCATTGGTCAGAAGGGCGAGGGCCCAGGTGTTGTTAGATTAATAACAACAACAGCAACAACATATCGTTGGGACCAGGTTGAGCTAGCGAGACTGCAGTCGAACCATCATTGGAGCGTGAGATGGTGTAAGAACTTTGTCAATGAAAAGCTGAGCCCACGTTGCCGAAGTTGCAGCCATGAAAAGGAGGATGTCAAACATATGTTTTAATATCCAGGAACAATGGCAATTCGAATGGACTTATTTGGACGAATGGAGGTGCCTCTAAGTAAATAGACAACGGAGCTGAAAAAGAGCCTTGCTCTCGCTCGAAGATTTCTTTGTGGAGTCCTGGTGGCCCATTAAGGAAACAACAACAACAATAACTGAGATCGCGAGTCCAACTCCAGAAAACACTATATAAGTACCGGTAGCTCACCTCAGTGTACATGTGAAGGAGATCCCTGCAAGACACAGCCAGAACCACCAAATCAAACTGAACTCTCTGGGGGAAAAAAAAACAACTACGGGGTAAATATCAACCCAACT